CTGGTGGTCAGCAATTGCCAACCTCGGGCAGGGGGTTCTCTTGGACCCACTCACCACGGTTATGACACTGGAAACTGATGCCTCCCTCGCATGTTTGGGAGTGCACCAATTGGACGAACAAGCCCACTGGAAAATATGGCACCTGCCTTAGATTCACAACTGCCATATCAACTGGCTAGAACTGAAAGAAGTGCACTTAGCACTACTTCACTTTCTACCTATAGTTGCTTCGCACGGACAACACAGCGGTGGTCTCCTTTAGCTACAAGAAGGGGGGACCAGATCCCCAGCATTGTCAGTCTTAACGAAGCAAATTCCTCTTTGGTACCTGGAATACAATGTGGAGACAGCCTCACACCACCTTCCAGGGGCTATTCACCGGGTACTGGAGAAACTTCAACATGAGTGCATCTGCACTTTAACGCGGGTGGGGCCAAGCAAGGTCTGGTTTCCACTACTGTTGGAAATGTTAGTCAAAACACCAGGGGTGCTTCCGGACTTCCAGATCTGCTGTCCCAACTGGACTACGCACTGCCTTTTAGGCCAATGGTGTACCACTTACATGCATCAAGGCTCTCAGTTGACTCACTCAGTGGGCTGCTAACGTCCTGGCCAGGGCCAACAGGGATCCCACCAACACAGCCTACACCTCGAAATTACGTGTGTACACTGATTGGTGTAGTGGAAGGGAGATCCATGTCATCCTTTGTTGGCCAGACAGCTGACTTTTTGTCTAACATTTGACGAAATGAACTTGACCTTTCAGCGATTGTTGGCTATAGGTCAGCTTTGTCACCCACTATTGGGATTCTCTGGGGACGAGGCCAGACGGTTGTCCTATTATTAGGAGACTGTTACCCTCGCCTCAGGTAGGAGACGTTGGGCTGAATTAGGGGCCATTTCCTTCTTGGACGGGTGTGTCACCTTTATGGACAATCAAGTCGTGATAAAGGGTTTCTCGCCAGGAAGAAAATCCCAGCACGTGATCCACAACCGATTGTTATTCCTGTAATGATTGGCAAGGAGGCAACACCTGAATTTCTCTTGAGGATACTGAGATGCAACTACTCCAAAGACTGTTGCAGTCTCGGATTTACCTGCAGAAAGCACAACCTTGAATGTTCTGCAGTTTGTGGTCAATGTCGAGGATCTGGATGCACAAATGTAGTTCAGATATCTGATGAAGAATAGTGATGACGATTGGCAATTACATTAATCAAACAATAAACTTTTGGACAGAAATATAACTATTTTATACAGTTTGTTAAATCAAAAATATAGTTTATAGAGTTGACAATTTATGTTTAAATGGTCTATTATGTATATAGTATAGCAGATTTGTAGATCCAACCAAGGTGTTTCATTTCTCTAGTTTTTCTTTTAGATGTGACAACCATGTTGAAGTTATGCAGATGAAGCATCTGTCTACCAAGGAAACCTTTTATTTACATCTTTTCTGTACTGTATGATTCTGTTTAAAATTGTATTCTAGCATCTTAAACTTATTACTTATGCCACCATAGAAGAGAAGCCAGAACTTACATTAAATAATTATATTATCGCGGCCATATTGAATTTATGCAAATTTTCATCTACCCAACCAACACATTTGGCAATCTCGTACCTTCTCCGACTCAAAACAGTACCATAGCATCATGAATTTTTATAATACCTCATCTAGAATTAAAGATATGTACAAATAGTTGTAAAAATGTGCAAAACAGTCATTTTGAGTATATGCAAATTAGTTATATTTCGGAAGCCTAGATTTTCCTAGACTTTTAGTATGTCAATCTAGATACCTTTCCGAAAAGCACTGTGAAGAAATTATTTCTGTTGCAGTTTGTGACGGGTTGGCCCCCTTTTTTTGCTAGAATGACTGGACTATATGGCAAAACTTAACCAGACCCCTTGAAGTATTATATGGACCACTAACCAGCCACCTCCCCCAACCCTAACCCTAACCCTAATTTTATTCCAATGCTCTAAATATTTATGAACTCAAACATCAGTTACACATTTGTATAAGCTTAGATGGTTCTAATATATATATGTACATGTTTAGTGATTATAGATGCACAAATGATTTAAAAAGTAGGGGTAGGCACCTGTCTAGGCAATCCTGTCTTCTCATTTGGATTTGAATGAGCTGAACTGAAAACTGTTATATTTATAAAGCGCAATGTATTTTGAATGAGAATAAAAATGCTTTTGTGGACTTAAAAAGAAACAAAAAACTGTATCGTTTGTTTTATTTTCAAAATATAATGTGTAACTTAATTTGACTGTTAGACACACCTCTTAGTCTTACATTATTGAAAAATACGGTTTATGGTATACATGTGTCTCTTTGATACTGTGCAAGAAGACACAATTGATTGAAAGCATGAGTAGTACTGACTGCTGAACTCTGTGTCATGTCATTAAAAATTGTATGTCGTGCATGTTTACACAGAAACTATCAGATTTGACTATACCCCGCCCATCCTAAACCCCACCCATGCGCCGTGTTTCAAATAGTTGGCAATGTTTTGGTCCACACATTGCCTGACTGAACCAACAAACATTTTAACAGACCCCATTTATGCCGTCCGACATCTTGCATATAGCGCGCTGTTTCAGAGATGACCCTAAAAATAATTCACTTTGAAGGTGCAACACAATTGAGAAAACATGACACAAAAAGATTTTCTCTTGGTATACTCTTTCGTGGGATGTATTGGCCCTGAAAAGGGCCATTAATGTTTAATTAATTTTTCGTGTAGACAAAATATAATCACGTAAGGTATAAATGCAAAGTGTTTTAGTACATTGTTGAGAGATCACAACATGCACTTAGAAGACAAAGCAAGCCAAAGTCGAAACGGGATGTATCATGGACTTGGTACAACATACTATGAGACAACTGAGTGATCATTTTGGGACGCAGTACTTTTTTGCGACACTTGCTGGGCAGCGATGCAGACATAAAGTGTGTGTTGATCGAAGTTTACCCCCCCCCCCCCAAGTCACACGCTGAACTGGCGGGTTACCTTAGCAACCTTTGTGGCAATGGGCACTGACCTCCATAGTTCATGCACTGATATTTGACAAAAACATGTCAATACAAGATTATGTGTGCAAGGTTAGATTTAGGCAAAAAAAAAAAAACTTATGTTGCCCTCAAGTCTAAATTGATAAATTGAATCGGTCGGTCGGATTTTTTTTTTTTTTTTTAAACTTAATTTAAAATTTAATAGTTGATCCAGCTTTTGCTGTCATGCACACAGCAAACGTGTTTGCCATGTTAGCTACCGCTGTACACATGTACGTACACGCGATTACAAACACGAAAGTGAGAAACTCAGAAAACTGACAGCACTAAAACAACGTGCAAAAGCCGCCGTTCTTTTGTGATGTAAGCGGATGAGAGTTTTGTTCATTTCATGTATTAAAAATTATACTTACTACAACAAACATATTGATTTTGTTTCAAAATAATGTTTTTATTTGATTAAGAAAATACTTGGTGCGACGATATTTTTAATATTGTGCACCAACTATCCGTCAAATCGCAAATATCAAAATGGCCTGAAGTGCAAAAGACGTGTTTGCTCTTCAGACTTCATAGCATTCGAAAAATGCAGATCAACCTGAGTTCAAAGTTGCCACTTTACCCCCCTGTGGATCAAACAACGGTCCTGGATCGTAAATTTTTAGAGAAAACACTTTTTCACTGCTTAGAATGGTAAGTTTTTAATATTTGGGCCTATTAAAAAAAAGACACAACCCATTGCGTTTCAAAATCATCAAAATTAAGCATTTCTCTGCTGAATTTTGTTCAAACTTGTTATATACATTGGACATTATAGGACCTTGATGCACATCATTTTGTTTTTCAAATAAGATACTGAATGGCTGACTGGCGGAGCCATATCTCTGACTTGCTTTGACTGATTACCGGTATGTTCAAATTTGTAATATTCATTATACATCATGTCTTAGATATATAGATTTATTGGTTTGATGATCTTATTCAAAGTGGCCAAATGGTGGCCATTTTGTGCTAAAAAAATCATCAAATATTAAGCATTTATGGATGGATTTCGTTCAAACTTATAAGCTACATTAGACATTATGAGTCCCTGATGCATGTCATTTTATTTTTCAGATCGGATTCAAAATGGCTGACTGGTGGCCATTTTGTTTTATTGAATGGGCTTCGAGATGGGCTTGACTGATTATGTTAAAATTTTATATACTCATTATGCATCATATTATAGATATATACATGTATTCAAAATGGCTGAATTTGTTTTAATTAATGCTGTTCCAGAGCAATATCTCTCATTGTGGACAAGTACTCATTTCACGATCAGATACAAATGTCAATCATTTTAATGTTTAACAATCATCATATTCATATTCCTGACATGGTTATATTCCAGCTATATTACTATAAACAAAAAATTATATTCCAACTATATTACTATAAACAAAAACAAAAATTATTTTCCCAGACAAGATGGGCTTCGTAATATCTGCCATAACATCGCCCTGGGTGATCTTTTGGTCCACACATTTCTAAAAAAAATCAAATCCTCCAAAAGATCGCCCAGGACGGGGTATCAGCTGAATAGGATATAATGGTATAGGGAGTCACAGTGACTTTTTATTTTCACAAATGCTCTCAAATCATGAAATGTCGTGTAGATTTTGTCGAATTGTTCATTCAATGCAACTGTTTCAAATTATTAAAGGAAGAATGATAAACAAAACTGAAATCTGAATAATAAATCTCTATACGTGTATTTGCATTTAACCATGGAGCAAATATCTAATTGACGGTATTGTTATTTTTTCTACAGTTTATCTACTTTAAGTTGTGTAATTAATGTACAATTTTGTTAAGATCCCCATAAGGATATCATCAATATTAGAATGTGTATTTTATAGATTTCAAAATTTTTTCTCAGACTGTGTATTCTGTCCATTTAGTACTTGATACTTGCTTTTTGTAGTGCATTAAAGACATCCAGCCTCAGTAAAGAGAATGAAAGACTTTCCAAGGAAATACAGAAAATGGAGACGGTTTTGAAAAGACATAGACATATACTTAATGCTGAAGAAGACTCATTAAGAGGACAAATAAGGTAAATAAGACTTTTGACGAAACAAATGTTGACATGAAGAATTTGCTTAAATTGTCACTTGTACATTTACACATTGTTGGCCTTCTTATGAAAGCACATTGTTATATGTACCTTTGAATTATGACATTGACATTGTGATAAAAATATCTGGGTCATTTTTGAAATGCATCAAGATAGTTAGGTTTGGCATCTAGAAAATGGCCTCCAGTATTTTTTTGAGTTCTGGTGTACTACAACACTAAATTCAATTTTATAAAAATTATTTTTATTTTTATTGTTTGAACATGCGTGAATATTCTTAACCTTTTCACCACCAGTTCCCTCTTTTCATCGCAATTTCAAAAATAGTCATGTTTATAGTCTACACAGCACTTTGCCAGGGTTCTCCACGGTTTGAAAATTAAACAGGGCGCGCCAATGTAAAGTGGGCGTGGCACATTTGTAACTTGCATCATTGGCATGGATGTTGAAAAAATGGAAACCAAAAAATCTATTAATCTACATATTATTACATATGCATAATATATATATATATTTATTATTACAAAATTAATGAGAATTTTGAAGAGCTATCATTAAAGTGCCTGTGAAATGGCTGCTATTTTCACGTCTAAAATTATCCATTGATACATAAATATTATTAATTTTTATGTTTCTAAGCATAAATATTTTTTTTTAAGTGAAAAAATGTGTTTTAAGCTCAGTCTACGGAAACTTTATTTTTGTGTATTTTAAAACTAGGCTCCTCATTAGCTTCTCATTTGCATACAGAAATTCCCCTTGTGACGTCAGAAGGGGAAGTCGCTGGGCAGCTTGCATTGCCGATACGTGTAAATAAGGCAAATTTCTTGTGCTGTTTTCTCGTCTTTGACTAAATTGCCACTTATGTACTTGTTCGTCGAGGAAGAATGGACCATAATGAACACATAGTATCAAGTTTGTTGCATGGGGTTGAGTCAGATGCGAAATATGTCCGGTCTGGTGTAGCTAGTCACCGTGGTCGTCACCGGAGCACGTTTGTACACTGTCGCTGGACTCCGGCATTGGACAAAATCAAATTTGACGGCTGAATCGTCTTGTTATTTAGCAGATTACGAGACACTATTGATTTATAAAATAGAGAAATAATTTTTAAAAAAACCGACAAAACACAGTTACTAAATAAATGACTGCCGCGTTGTAATGGGTGAACGCGTCGGGTCATGAGGGGGGCAAGTGAATGACGGCGTTTAATTGGATAACAAAAATAATTGAGAGCGACTCACATACAGACAATTCAGAGTGGATTAGGCGTGATTTTCATGATTATGACATCATATTAAAAAAATACATTGACAGCTCAAGCCCGGATTCTTATTCCGTAAATTATTACGCCGATCAAGCTGCAAGTAAAGGCAACACTTTTAGCCTGCGAAAATGAAAACAGCCTGAGGGCTGCGTAATTTCCTGTTTGTCCGACGCTTCGTTTTCGTGTCATTATCAAAATTACTGCTACTGCTACCTTTTACATAACACGGGTGGTCTCTATAAAGCGATAATCAGGATCACAACAAAAATCAAATCATTTGAAACACGTACTCTACGTCTCTCCCTTCTGAAATCCGTCTCAGTGATCATGAGTTGGTCCGGAATCTATTTTTTCGAAAACGTTTTGTATTGTCTGCGTTTCTCGTTAAAACCTAGTTGTTTTGTCATAGACAAGGACAGTTTTTCAAAAAAAAGAATCTGAGGTGAAGTGGACACTGCATATGACGCTGTTAGGAAGAAGTCCACCCCAAGCTTTTCTCGTTATTTTCACGGCTTTCGTCCACCGATTTCGCACCTTTGGATCGATTGGAAACGTGTAAATACTTACACTATGACTATACGCATTACTGCAACCGCCCACAACACAACGTTTAACCATCATAAAAGTTTGTTGTGAAAACAACTTCTAAAAATTCGCTCTCTCAAAAATAAAATAAGATAGACAAAAGAAACGCCGATTAACAAACGTATATCGTTTAAAAGTACAGTTGTACATTGAATGACACAGTGATATAAAAGTACGACCCAGGGGTATGGCTTCCTCTCATATTTTTGCATTTGGTGGCGCAAACAGTCGACCGTTTCAGGATAGGTGGGCGTGGCTACAGCACGGGAAATATCTCAAATTTACTTGGATACGAGTAATCATTTTCAGCAAAAAAATCAATAATTGCCCATTTCAGTGGGGCACAGATCTAAAATGGGAAGCGTGTGGGTGGGCATTGCACAGGCACTTTAAGTAAATGTCAGCACATACAATCAGCTGATTTTAGCTGCACGATTCATCACGCGTCGACATCAGCTGTTTACTAGTAATGATCACATCAAGAAAAAGACGTAAAATGCTTTATTTAATTTTCAGTAAAAATTTTAATTTATATTTATTTGGACGAAGCAAACTAAAATTTATGATGTCGCACAAACGTTCATTGAAAAACTTGCATGAATGTGCATCATCGGCACCAAAAAGAAAGATGATCAAACGAAAAATAAAGTCTACACAATAGAAGATTTTCGATCTGCAGTTAACAGTTACTATCAAAAATAATAGAATTATGTATAACAAAAAACATACTTAGAAGAAGAATTTTCATTCGTATCGAAAGTTTGTTGATGTCTGCTTCGTTAAAAACAGCAGTGACCCGGAAACAGTTCATTTTACTGCGTGCATCCTGATATTATGTAACGATGCCTTTGATTGGCCAAAGCCACGCATTCACGTGAAAAACAACCAATCAGAATATTGTTTCAAGAAGAGCACAAGTAAATTTATTTCCTCCACTTATGATGCGAGTTGAAAGCATGGCCGTTTTACGGGAGTTTTTAAATAGTGATTTAAAGAAAATTCTTCTTTAAATAGTGACATTCGTCAAAATATAAACATTTACATGTTTAAGCAAGCATTTGTGTGGACTTCTTGGTGATCAGCAATGTCTGTGATCATATGTCGGCTGCTCTGGTCATTTACCGATCATACAAGAGCATGGCTGCCTTTGTTCCACTCGGCGGTGACGATGTTGCTGCTACAAATCACGGCGTGAACTTGGTTTCAACCATAGATCTTATGTTTTAACGAATGGTTTTACCGATAACGATTTTGTATATTTGTCTTCACCCTGGGAGTAAAAATATGGGTACGGTAATACACTTTTCTAGGCCACATGTTCATTTTTTATCGTGTTGAATAAACTTGCAAATTTTAGTTCGGTTGTAACAAGGCGGAATTTTCACAGTTTTCACACCTTAAAACAATGAACCAGTTACCCTGAGCACGATGAATCATCTTCGGAAGACAATGAGTGATGGCCTGTTTTGTGAACAATTCTTTGTCTGGGACCATGCAGGGCGCACAGGAAATATAACAGGGCGCTGACAATTTAAACAGGGCGCCAATTTCAGATAACAGAGTATGGCACTCTGCTAAAACCCCCTGTGGAGAACCCTGCTTTGCTTTTTAAGAAGAACTGAAACTGAAAATTGACTTAAATTGTGCCTTGTTAGCTTCAAAATTAGTGTTCATTTCCAGAAAGGTTGAAAAATATTAGAAAAAAGTGCAGACAAATTTTGGGCGAGTCTGGTGGTGGAAAGGTTATTTATTTAGTCCCCGTTCGGATGCAGTCCGAAAACGGGGACTTATGTTTTGACCTCCAGGTGTCCGTGTGTGCGTCCGGACTTGTATCTTAGAAATGCCTGGACCAATCACAATCAAACTTCACACATACATCATACATGATATTAGACATATGCACATCAATTTGTTTCTTGATCTGATTCAAGATGGCCGAATGGCGGCCATTTTTGGGCTAAAAATCATCAAAATCAAGCATTTCTTGGCTGTTTACAGATGGATTACAGTGTTCTCCCCAGGCTCAGAGGCAAGCATGGCGGACT